TAAAGATAAAGATAAAGATAAAGATATATTTATTTGTATAAACATGTGTGGGTAACATTATACATATCAATGCAAATGCAGATTATAAAATAAACACTGTAACGTCTCAACATGTCTTGCCACAATTGGCGTACAAAATAATTATAAAATGTATAAATCTATTAAAGAGACAACTAAAGTTAAAACATATGAAACAATGAACTTATAAATTATCATTTAAAAAATCCGTAATATGGTAATAACAATGCTTAATAAGTAATTTTTTTAGTTCTTTTTTGAACAAAGTATTATTATTTATATTTTTCAAATTATGCGGAATTTTATTATATATTAAAGGTGCCATACAAAACACACTTTTACGGAGAAGTGCTGTTTTCGCAGAGTGAGGCTGTAGATAATGTTTATATTTCTTGCGTCTATTCCTAACAATATTATCTGCTAAGAGAGGAAACCAGACAGGGTTATTTCTTACAAATAAAGCTATTTCCAAGATGTATAGTGACGGAAGTGTCAGTATATGGTACTCCTTAAACAGTGGTTGACAGCTGTCAGTAGTTTTAATCCTGAACATGGCCCGGATACAGCGTTTTTGCATTTTAAATACCATATCCGTATTGGTCGAGTTTCCCCAAAATATTAGACCGTATCTAAGCACCGATTCTATCAGCCCATAATATGCCGTCAATAAAAGCTCTACTAGTTTCGAACCACCAGTGAGCTGCGCGACGTCGCCGCGACCGCGCACGCTGCTCATGAGGAAGAACCCCTCTGTGGTTCGAAACTAGTAGAGCTTTTCTCAGTATATTCACGTGAGTAACCCGCGATTTTACTTAATGGAGTTCAAAAAATCACAAAACCCCACAGTCAGGCTACTCAATTTTAAGTCGTAGGTACTTAAATATCGTGCTATCCCTGTCGTTTTACGAAAAAATTGTAGCGACACAACTATACTGATGCCCGAATTAAAATTGAGTCGCGATTAAGTTGGTATTTAGACATAAGTATTTTCATCATTCATTCATTCATTCATCAACAGCCTATAAATGCCCACTGCTGACAAAGCCTCTTCTCACACGGAGAAGGTTTGAGCATTAATCACCACGCTTGCTCAATGCGGGTTGGCGATTACAAGCTTTCATTCACATTCAGGTTTCCTCACGATGTTGTCCTTCACCGTTTGTCAGTCAACTCGGAAAAATTTGAACAGATTGCTACTAATGCCGTTGGTAGGTTTTGAACCCCTACCCTCATGCATGAGAAGCGTGCGTCTTAAACCTCCGTGCCACTACGACATTTTGTACATTTTGACATAAGTATATTAAAAAGTTTCAATTAGATGCTGAAGAAGGGCCTATTCTTATTCTGTAACGTTCTTTATATAGTATAATAATATTTGGGTAAGTAGTAATAAAAGCTCCGACAAGAAAAGAAAAATTGTCCGTACTGAATATATTAAATCTACTGCCGAAAATACTAACTTTCTGACCACTTTACATGACTATTGCTACAATACTAAGCTAACCTAACCTAAACGTCTGTTGTCTGGATATTAATTTGTTTTTTGGAACCATTATTATTTTCCAGAATATTTTATTCGAAAAACATGGACATTTGATTTTGTTTTGCCAATAGAATCGATACTTAACCTATAAAGTATCTGAAGGCAATCTACGCGAGCTACAATGACGTGTTTTCTATTGTGTCTCGGTCTCGACAGACAAGAGGTTAATACATCTAAAACTATATTTTCAACCATAATCCAAAACCACTTAGGCTAAAAGGTGTATACACCCACACGTACCTATTTTCAGAATCATAACTAACTTCGTGAGTCCTCAATGTAACCAATTTTGAGATTAGTTCCTTAGAAATACCTCCTACATCTGTCTGTGTAGTAAACTTGGAACTCCAAAGGGATAGTACTTTGGCGACCAAATTGAGATTGGCTTTTGTTATCTCCCCGCACATACTTTCGAAAGGGCTAGAAAATGTGTCAAAATGTTTCTTGAGTAAATTTTCGAGACATGTTTAAGGAATTGGGCACTATTTACTCTTTTGGTCCTTATTGGCGATAGAAATCTACAAGGACCACATTTATTTTTGTGGTCTTTTACCCTGAATTCTAAGAAGGCGTTGGGTCGGTTTACTAGGGATAAGAAAAGCCTTTGATGTATGTGTAAAATGTTGTTTTGATACTTATTTGGGAGTCTTTGGTCCTATGTACGGACGTATTCATGATGTTTAGGCAAGTGGGCTTCATGTCGGAAAAGGGTAATGTCCCTTTTAAAAGAAAATTGTCTGTCACTTGCCTATTTTTAAATGTGTAGGTACTTAGGTAGTTCTAAAGGGCACTTCTACTTAATCTGAATAGCTTATTTGAATATTGTTTTAGTATTCTTATTCTGAAGATTAGCTACCCTTTAACCCCCTTTCTACTTATAGATTTCAGATGTTGCTATCACAGTCGAGGATTATCTGCTTTAATTTCTTCAATATTTTTACTTGTGAATTTTTCTATTGATTTAAATTACGTTTTCAGTAAGTTTCTCTTTTTGCTAAATTCAGCCAATGTTTGAATTACACGACCCGACCATATTTATCTCATAAATCAATAATGTAATTCTTATTTCCTATTTTATTAACCTTTGCCAATGAGTGGTGAGAGATAAATAACGAAATAAAACTTATTTTATTTCGCTACAGAGTCCTTCTTAAATTGTGAAAAATTTTGTAAAATAATGTATGTTAATTAAAGAGAAAATGTATCGTGTGTTTTCAATGCATTTGCAACGGTACGGTGTTTGTGATCGCTCCTCGCTAAGTACCTGCAACAAGTAGAAGGTTCTGAAACGCAAGCTCACTTGAAAATTAGTCTTACATCCTAAGTTAGGAATAGATTATGTTCAATTGTCTTGCTCATGCTGAACTGGTCCCATTTCGCGGCAGACTTGAGACATGAACATGTATCCATCAGTACCTACTAATACAATGACTTTTATGTAGGTACATGTCACTTATTTTTTGGCGTGAAATAAAGTTTCTTTTCTTTCTTTATTTCTTTCAATTTATTAACTCGTCGAGTACCGGTTTTGCAGACACAATTATAGAACAATAGGTTGCGGTCACCGGTGACCGCTTGGTATTTGACAGTTTAATGAATTTAGTTGTTTCTTGATCAAGCTAGTGTTATATGCGTTGGAGTGTAAGTTCTGTTAATCGTTCGCTTTATTCTTGTGTTCTGTGTTGATTTTGATTCATATGGTTGGTGGGTTTGTCTTATTGAAGACAGAATGTCTAAAGCATGAGTTAAGTTTTCAATTTTTTTTCTTTTTTTGTTTTAACATTTCTGTATTTTATCTAATTATTTCCTCCAATAAAAGCAATTGAGTATATTTTGTAGGTTGAGTTAGGTTAGTCTGGTCGCAGGGCGGGTCGCGAACGAAGTGCGAAAGTACAGTTCTTGTGGCCCGCCCTCATGCGTGAGTGGCACACCCCGGGGTTTTTAGCGGGGTTTCCCGCGAGGCCGGGTATGCACGGCAATTTCATCGGGCGAAAAAAAAAGGTTAGTCTGGTCGATTTTTAATGATACCTACTTTAGCGTGAATTTTAATTCTAAGCTAGGCGATAGCGATGGCTATAGCTTGCTGCTTTTACAGAACTTGACTTACTTAACAAGTACGGACCTCCTCTCTTATTGGGAGTATTGTTAGGGGAAGAAGGAAACAATAAAAACATACAAGACACCACGTTGTAAAAATAATACAGCTATTGATAACCATTGGTTTTATTTTTTGCGCTGTGAATTCATATTATTATTCAAAACATTATTTAGCAAATTAGCACCCTAAGATACGCTAATTTGCGCGGGCCTGCGGACGGCGAGCATGGGTGGCTCCCCGTCCGACCAGAAACAGACCCGGGCGTAGGACGCGTCGCGTTCGCGTCGCGCCTCAAAGAGCCATCAGACCACCACAGATGGGGCCCAATAGGGCCGATGCCGATTCGGAGTCGTGGAGAACCTAACGGGTAACCGGGGCTCCGGATCGACGTGCAGGAGAAGGAACGGTGTAGTTTTTAGTCAGTAAGACTGACACTCCCTCCCGCCTCACCCAGGCGGGAGCAGTCATTCGATGACTTCCCCCCTTAAAGAAAAAAAAAAGATACGCTAATGTGATAACCTGTGCTTTTTGACATTAGGTTGTAAGGTATGGAATCTGTCAAAAATCAAGATGGACACAGAAATTTTATTGATTTTGACCGTTAGTAATCACAGAGTCTTTAATATCTACGTTTCTCTATAATGACTCCATGTCATCCGAAACCCGAAACCTAATGCAGTAGCGACCACATAACATAACATCACGCCTTTTATCCCCGAAGGGGTAGGCAGAGGTGCAAATTACAACACTTAATGCCACTATAAAATATAACACCCACTTTTCACTATTTATGATATGAGTCCCATGTAATAGGGGGTGAGCCTATGGCCATATACCGGGCATAATTCCAGACTCCGTGCCATGATTGAGACATGTAATCGAACCCGAGACCCCTTTCCCGGCAGTCGCACTTGCAACCTCTCGGCCAAGATAAGGCAGTCTAGTCTCGTTAGTAACCAATAATTGGAATACCTATCTTTAAAAGTTGGTACGGAGGTACCTAAGTACCTATTTCTAGTTAACCGCGGGTGGAAAAAATCGTTTAATTGGAAAACATAGCGAGACTAATCCGAATCTCGCGCCGCTTCCAATGGCTGACAAATCAGAATTCAATTAAAACTCTTTGTTTGAACTTGATTAGTTTTTGTATCAGTTCGCTCATCCACGTGTGGTTGGACATCTTCAAAAGGATAGTTATCTGACACTTTGTGGTTTCATAAAAGTTTTTGTCGCGTGATTCAATTGAAAAGTTAAACGTGCAAACGCGAAATGGGTGCTTTCAGTAAGTTTTCTTTATGTGCCTCGGACTTGCCCACCTACCTACATAGTTAGCCCATATTACCTCCCGAGCGTACGGCGCGTCGCATTCCGCGCGCGCCTCATAGAGCCATCAGACCACCACAGATGGGGCCCAATAGGGCCGATGCCGTTTCGGAGTCGCGGAGAACCTAACGGGTAACCGGGCTCCGGCTCGACGTGCAGGAGAAGGAACGGGGTGGTTTTTAGTCAGTAAGAGTCTGACACTCCCTCCCGCCTCACCCAGGCGGGAGCAGTCATTCGATGATTTTCCCCCATTAACAAAAAAAAAAAAGCAATCAGCGTCGCCCATGGACACCTGGAACACCAGACGCGTTAAAAAGTCAAAGTCAAAGTCAAAGCATTTATTTCAATTAAACCATAGTTTGGTACTTTTGAAACGTCAACAAATACAAAATAAATAATAGTCTGTCAGTCAGTCCGTCAGTGAAGCTAGGTGAAGCTAGGTGCTCATTCCAAAACGTAGATTCGAATGGAG